CGAGATCGTCAGGCAAATGAACTGACAAGGCAAGGCAAGGCGGCGCTTTTCTGAGCAAGAGCGGCAGGTAGGGAGCAGAGAGCTCTGACAGTGTGAGAGGTGAGCGCAGGTGGTGGTAACTGGTTCCCCCTTTCCTGGCTAAAGAGCTCACGCCACTAGTGGTCCCTGGTCTCGGTTCCTGCTAGACCGAAGAGCACAGGTAAAGGCAGCAGGGGGAGGCTCCTCAAGAGGTAGAGGATCCCCTCCCCTCCTGCCACGAGGCAGTAGGAGGAGACCTCAGAGCTGAGGGGTCATGGGAGCAGGTCCCTGCTAAGGGAGGCAGCTGAATCCCCTCCCGGCCTCCCTCACCTGCCCAGTTGCCCCCCCAGGACAGGGATGGGGCCCTGCAGGAGGAACTGACTGTTAGGAGGTGGAGGGTTCACCTGGGCCTTAAGTGCCACCAAGACCAAGTTGCCCTAGACCGAGTATCACAAGTGGCTCCAAAAAGAAAAAGAAAACCAGGTGGGTGATGGTTGTGGGTGACTCTTTCCTGAGGACAGCAGAGGGCCCAGTGTGCCATCTGGACCCACTTCAGAGGGAAGTCTGCTGCCTCCCTGGGGCACGGATTTAGGATGTATTGAGCAAACTTTCTACCCTGTTGAACCCTTCAGGTTATTACCCACTTTTGGTGTTTCAGGTGGGTAGCGATGAAGTGGTTACAAGAAGCCCAAAATCAATTAAGAGATTTTAGGGCCTTGGGACAGCTGCTCAAGAGATCAGGAGCACAAGTTGTGTTCTCCTCTATCCCCTCAGTGGCAGTTGTGAATGAGGGAATTAATGAGAAGAGCTGTAAGATCAATTCATGGCTCATGGGCTGGTGTTGTCAGTAGGGCTTTGGATTTTTTGATCAGGGACTGCTGTACAAGACACTTGGCCTGCTGGCAACAAATGGGATGCACCTGTCCCAGATGGGAAAAAGGATTCTGGAGCAGAAGATAGCAGGGCTCATCAGTAGAGCTTTAAATTAAGTTTGAAGGGGGAAGGGGATATAACTGGGCCTGCTAGGAATAAGGCCAAAGGAAGCATGTCAGGGCTCATAGGATGACATGCTAATGAGAAGTCTTGCTCTGCCATCTTGGTGGAGATGAGGGATAGATGTATGGTGCAAAATGAACTGGTAAGGGTTGTTGATGGTTTAGAAATCCAGAGAAGGGTCGAGAAGGGTTATGTAGGAAATGGGACCCACACCCACAAAAAGATATTGGAATCATTACCTCATCTGAAGTGCATCTATACCAACACACACAGTATGAGCAGCAAACAGGGAGCTTGAAGCCATGATGCAACAGAAAAACTATCATATAGTGGCTGTCACAGAAATGTGGTGGGATGGCTCACGTCAGTGGAGTGCCTTAATCAATGGCTACAAGCTCTTCAGGAGGGATAGACAGGGAAGGAGAGGTGGTGGGGTGGCCCTGTTTGTTAGGAACTGTTATGAGTGCTATGAGTGTATAGTGACAATGGGGTTGAGAGTGTTTGGATTAGGTTAAGGGGTAAGGACAGTAAAGCTGATATTGCTATGGGAGTCTGCTATAGACCTCTCAACTAAAGCAGCGATGTGGATGAAATAACTTTCAACACGCTCATCATGTGGGAGTCTGTTTCCTTTTACGTTCAGCTCCTGATAGCCATTGGCTTCAGGCATCTCAGTGCAAAATAATATTAAGTCCTTCCTAGAAGTCCTAGAAGGATATTAAGTCCTAGAAGGATATTAAGTCCTAGAAGGACTTAATATCCCTGCCCAAAATTTGTGTGTTTTCATCCTACTAATTCTTTCTTTTAGCTGCTCGTGCCTTTACCTTCTAGGATGACGTACTTCTGCAAGGCTTTGCTTCTGTGAACACTCTTGAACGTGAGCAATCAGAGTCAGTGAAACTGTGCATGTGTGGTGAGTAACCACAGAACTGAGGACTTCCAGCAGCTGCCTACAGGTATGTTACATGTCTTCACATTCCCTTGGATATTTTTGTCTCATTTATGCTCTTATGTGTCTCTTTGTCAAGCAGCATTGCTCTATGCTACAACACAAAGTTAGCAATCAGTTTCTGATCATTAATTCAGCTACCTCAAGTATGTTTTTTACTGTGATTACTACTATTGAGAGGCATATAAATTTGTTGCAACAGTTAACTTTCTTTCAGTATGCCATCATTCTCAGTAGTTACGCTAGTATAATATCTCAAAGGGAAACTGGAAGGTGGGAAGTTTCCTTGCCATAAGACATTTCTGAGATTACTTCAGGCTTATCCATTAATAGCGTAGTTTTTAAAGAATTTTTATGTTCTAGATTTTCCCAAAATTAGAGAACCACAGTTTCAAGCTTACTAGGCTGGAAAAATCTGGTTATAGAACAAGTATGCCTTGTTTGCTTCTGATGGAAAGCTTACATCTGTGTAACAGCATCTGACTTCGGATGACAAAATATTGAAAAATTGCTAGCTGCAGTTCTCAGTGGCCACATATGCTGGGATGAATTTATCACTGTAATCATCAGGAAATGAGAAAATGCTTTTGGACAATATGTGTTTTACATGGAGATTGAATACAAAGCTAAGACTGTAATCAACAGCTAGACTCTGATCAGAGACACTACTTGTGTTCTTCCATTTATGGATTCTGTCACATTAGCTGGCTACAGGAATTAAGCAGCTGGTTTTCCTACTGTCATCAAAAATTTTGTGCAAGATGAATTCAAAAACTTCAGTTGATTAAAAGGGCTCTTAATAGCTTTCAGACATGTGAGGTCTCTGAACACAGTTTAGCTAAATCTGTTGCTACTGATTTGTAGCCAAGTCTTCCAGGCTAGTAGTTAACGTACTTGTCTTACAGTATTGTATATTCTCATTAAAAAAAAAAAAAGAAAAAAGAAAGAAACAAAGAGCTATCCTATGAATATAACTTGTTAGAGAAGGCAACTGAAAAAAGTCATCCAGCACTTCGGTCAAGTAGAAGATACAAAAGAAACTCCAATGCATAGCACCAGGAAGATACTATTCTGTATAGAAGTTTTTATTGGAAAAAAAATACTGATTAATCTCTGAACCGACTGTATAGTGAAAGCTTATTTTCTGAGGCAGAAAGATCTGTTTATTTGACACTAACCTACCTATCATACAAATCATGCATATCATTCAAGCATACATGGTCTAGAAGAAAATAATTATTAACAATCTCTTTTCTACTCCTTTAAAAAATAAGGTAAGTCTGAAGGACAGAATTGGCCTTTTAACATCCAAGATGAGTTTGGCTCCAGATTCTAAAGCCTTGAAGTGGACTAAATCCCACTTAATTTTGAATTTTTCTTGCAATTTAGATGAAAAGCTGTAAATGCAGAGAGCTTGCGTAGGCAGCAGGTGGCAGACTGCTTCCAGGAATCGGTAGGAAACCGTTACTCAAGCTTTTCTTAATAATGCTCTTGGTGATTTAGTTAAGGTGATGTAAAAGTGAGAGACTCCTACTTTTGTCAAGCATGCCAGGGTAACGAGGTACTCTAAGAGAGGATGCTGTGTCTGTGCTCCCTGCTTTATCAGTTCTTAAAGTAACAGAGTTTAACACATAGACTATTATGTGTGAAGACATCTACAGATAAATCAAGGCCTCCAATGCTCTTTACACACACGTGACATAAATTATGTGTTTAAAGTATTCTCCAGACAGCAGACTATCCTGTTAAAAGAGTTTCTGTACAGTACTGAAAAAGATGAGTTTCCAGTCTTTTGAGAAAGTTTTTTTGTTTGGTGGTTGTCTTTTTTTATGCAGACTTTTTTTTCGAGCTTAAATTCACCTAGAGGGGTTTTAATAATGCCTTGCTGCTAATCGTTAGTGCACTTAAGGAAATACCTTGTCCCATAGCTTTTGTCCGATATATTTCATTGCAAGAGAAGCTTGTGACTCTTGCACAAACTATCTCACCATCACAGTTGTTTCTTGTGCCATTATTTTGGTGATTGCCAAAGGCTCTATCTAGTATATACTGAGACATTTCATTACCCACCTAGAACTAGGCTGTGGTATCAAAGGAGGCAACTGCTAAAAGGCTGCTAGAAACTGCACAACACTTGGTAAACACTTGGGGGAGCTGCCTATCCACTACATGAAAAGATTGGATTTGTTGGTCGCCTAGAAGAGAAAGAATAATTCCAGGATGATCCCAATAATTTCCTGACAGAGGAGCTCATTTTCAAGTGTTAGATTTTATTGTTAGAAACCTCCCAAAATCACCCCATCCCTATAGGATTTCCATTTCTGTAGTATTTCCAGTTGTCTCAGGATTTGTTTGAACAAATAAGAATCTGTAATATCATTCTGTCTCAGTAGTACAGTTGTTTTCGAGTTTGTCATAATGATTTTGGGATATTTTTTCTCTTTCTTGAACAGTCAAGACCTACCGTTGTCAAGAGCCTGATGTAAGTCTTTAAGTTTTCTCTGATAAGAGACATTTTCAGGACTACGTTCTAACACTACTACATCCTCACCATAAAGATAAGTCTTTATAAAATGACACACTCCAGAAGAGTCAGAGTGTGTTTGCACTCTCCAAAGTAGGGGTTACTTCAGTGAAATAAAGAAAAAAAGTGTGTGTATAGTGCTTAGTCTGCTTTTGATAGTGCAGGCTATGGTTATGCTAATCTCCTAGCATCACTGGAATCTCAGTCTGCAGACTGGATGAATATGAAAATGTACTATTAGTATCAGGAGAGGAAATAGTACTTCAAGAGAAATTACAGAAATTAACACAAGTGGACGTTGGACATGTCTTTTTAACTGTCTTTCCAGCTGTATCTGATCCAGATGTGGTCTTGCAGGCCTTGCCAGTGCTGAAATCTTTTTGGAAATGAAGTTGCCTCATCATAGAAGAGACCATGTAATGGAATAGTTCAAACGACTTACTATTATTTCA